CCTCCTTCTGCCTGTTACATACATTTCAACAAAACCATTATACCCTGATTTCCCATTGAAAATGGGTTCAGGGTATAAAAATATATACTACTAGTTGTCCCGGCGAACTTCGTACCGCCTAACAGTCTCTATATATATAAAACAAAGTAGAGTTTGTTACAAAACTTATAATTTGAGATCTGCTGCACCAATTTTCATGGTTTTTGATTTGTTGGATTTTTCTCTGCCCCGGATTGGAAACAGGCATTGTATTTTTGAGTGCTCGCTAGAAAAGTAGGGAACGCAAGCTATAGTCAATGGTGCAATCATATCGAAACGCTTCTCGATTCAAATCAATCCTTGAACCATTTCTTATTGCCGTTTCACGGGCTGCCTCTCTTTGAGAAGCACGAATTAAGGCCCTTCTTTGCTGGGTACTAACGCGGTGCCTTTCTCGGACGATTTCTCGTTCTTCGTCAGATAATTGACTCGCGATATTCCGATGCCTAATTGCATTATGGGTCCGCCGGGAAAGATTAGGTCTTCTAGGACGCGGCATTTTTTATCAATAGTAACACTGAATATGCCCTCGCACAAAACCACATAAAACAATCGAGAAATATAAATATAAATAATTTACACAAATTTATGTTTGAGACAAACAAATACCTGAACATTCGAGATATTTAGCTTTTGTACGCACGCGCACAATTATTATTTATAAAGTTTAAAAGTCCAAAAATATAAAAAGCCAAAAATACACTTTTTAATAATTATTTTTTTTTTTTTTTAATTTCGAATTTTGAATTTTTTATTTATTTTTGATTAGTCAGGTTTTAATCTTTTTATTTTTTTTTAATTTTTGCAGATTTTTGATTTGAAATATTTATAAAGTTTAAAAGTCCAAAAATATAAAAAGCCAAAAATACACTTTTTAATAATTAACTTTTTTTTTTTTTTAATTTCGAATTTTGAATTTTTTATTTATTTTTGATTAGTCAGGTTTTAATCTTTTGATTTTTTTTTTTAATTTTTGCAGATTTTTGATTTGAAATATTTATAAAGTTTAAAAGTCCAAAAATATAAAAAGCCAAAAATACACTTTTTAATAATTAACTTATTTTTTTTTAATTTCGAATTTTGAATTTTTTATTTATTTTTTGAACAGTCATGTTTTAATCTTTTGATTTTTTTGAATTTTTGCAGATTTTTGATTTGAAATATTTTTCTTTTTGATTTGGAAAACAAATTTTTTTTTGTTTATTTTTTTTTTTTAATAGTCTTTTTTTTTTTTTTTTTTTATTTTTTTGAATAGTTTTTTTTTTTTTTTTTTTGTTGAATAGTCAGGTCTGCTCGAGGCTGTGCCGTAGACTGACTGACTGCATTTGTTTATTTACTTCTATACAGGACCGAAACTGTCACTGTTGTCAAGGCTACTGAGTATAAATGGAAATTTGAATCTTTAGGGAAAAAACCGCGTTTTTCAAGTATTCGTCAAATTTTTTTTCAGTATTTTAAAGATCTACTGACCTACTCGTGGAGGAGACAAATTCAACAAATCAAAAACCATGAAAATTGGTCCAGCAGATCTCGAGTTATAAGTGCTAATACACTTTTACACAACTCTCTTTTATATATATAGATTAGTCAGGTTTTAATCTTTTGATTTTTTTTTTAATTTTTGCAGATTTTTGATTTGAAATATTTATAAAGTTTAAAAGTCCAAAAATATAAAAAGCCAAAAATACACTTTTTAATAATTAACTTATTTTTTATACTCATTCACGAAAGTGAATCAGTATATTGGTTTTGTGCAATGTCCGTCTTGCTGTCCGTCCGTCTGTCCATCTGTCCGTCCGTCCGTCTGTCCGTCTGTCCGTATGAACGCAATCTATTTCGGCGCTATTGAAGCTAGAGACTTGAAATTTGGAACACATACTCGTGTATATCTCCGATTTATAAAGTGTTAAAATTTTCCCAAACCGCCCTCTAGGGGCGTGGCAAATCGGAAAATGCATTTTCCGATATACCAGAAATCATGTTAGTTAAAGAGCTAGAAAGCTGAAATTTGGTATGTAGGTCCGCGTTGACCACCCAAGATCACGAGCTATGGCGGATATATCTACGCCCATTGGGGGCGTGGCAAATCGGATAAAACTGTATCTCCTAAAGTTGTAAACCTAGAATGCTGAAATTTTGCACGTCAGCTAATGGTATGACTCTATAAAGTCTAAAGATAAAATTATAAGTCTATGCCCATTGGGGGCGTGGCAAATCGGACCTGAAGATATAGTGATTTTTTAAATTCTCCTATATTTTGGACACTCCTGATGGCAGAGACCTCAAATTTTGTATATATACTCGGACTGATCACCCAAGACCAAAAAGTTTGTCGGATATATGTCCGCCCACAGGGGGCGTGGAAAACCGCAAAAGTTTATATCTCCTACAGTTTAAGAGCTAGAAGCTTCAAATTTGGATAGTTGAGTTACTGGTAGCCTCCTCTATCGATTCCCCAAAAATAATTTTTACGCCTCTTTAGGGGCTTGGCATATCGAAAAATACCCTGTAATTTTCACATTTTTTGAGGTTAAGCATTCAAACTTTGCAGTTAGGGTACCGTTATCTCTTTCTAAAAACTGACCAAAAATGAGGTGTCTACGCCCAGTTGGGGCGTGGCAAATCGGAAAAACCTGTATAATCTACAGTATTAGAGCGAAACCTAACTACTAAATTGTTGATGGGATGTGAATGAGTATTCCGCAGTCGGTAACGCCCGACTGCAACGTTCTTACTTGTTTTAATTTCGAATTTTGAATTTTTTATTTATTTTTTGAACAGTCAGGTTTTAATCTTTTGATTTTTTTGAATTTTTGCAGATTTTTGATTTGAAATATTTTTCTTTTTGATTTGGAAAAAAAATTTTTTTTTTTGAATAGTCTTTTTTTTTTTTTTTTTATTTTGTTGAATAGTTTTTTTTTTTTTTTTTTTTTTTTGTTGAATAGTCAGGTCTGCTTGAGGCTGTGCCGTAGATTGACTGACTACATTTGTTTATTTACTTCTATACAGGACCGAAACTGTCACTGTTGTCAAGGCTACTGAGTATAAATGGAAATTTGAATCTTTAGGGAAAAAACGCGTTTTTCAAGTATTCGTCAAATTTTTTCAGTATTTTAAAGATCTACTGATCCGCCTCGTGGCGGAGACAAATCCAACAAATCAAAAACCATGAAAATTGGTCCAGCAGATCTCGAGTTTTAAGTGCTAATACACTTTTACACAACTCTCTTTTATATATATAGATTAGATAATAGAACAATTTAATAAATAGCATAGCAAGAAAAAAAAACATGATGAAAAACAAGTAAGAAAACTCTAGTCGAGAGTGCTCGACTAGATACTACCCTGAACCGAACTAATAAAAATGCCCATTTACTATGGCTAAAATTTCAATTTCGATGTATTTAAAAATATAAATAAAATACCAAACTCATTTAATAAAATATAAAAATATTTTGAAACAATTAAAATAGTTAATATCAGTTGCACCGATCGGGATTTGAACCGCGGCTTCTCGATCGATCGTCATGCAGCTAACACACTACGCCACCTCACTTCTGCAAGTGGCGCTGGCAAAACTCAAATAGATTCACTGCTGCAGCGCCATCTACCAAAACTAAATCAAACTAACTGCTGATGTGATTCTAAGAATCTGCTAGTATATCCAAACTTTTAAATACGCACACTTAGTATGGTTAAAATTTCAATTTCGTTGTATTTAAAACTATAAATTAAATAGAAAACTCATTTATGAAAATATAAAAATATTTTGAAGCAATTAAAAAAATTATCATCAGTTGCACCGATCGGGTTTCGAACCGCGACTTCTCGATCGAGCGTCATGCCGCTAACACACTACGCCACCTCACTTCTGCAAGTGGCGCTGGCAAAACTCGAATAGATTCACTGCTGCAGCGCCATCTACCAAAACTAAACTAAACTAACAGCTGATGTGATTCAAAGAATGTTCCAGAAGAAGTTTGAATGTATGTGTGCACACGCAACGATGCTGTTGTAGCTGCTGCACGTGCGTTTGTTAATTGGCCAAAATATTTGATGATTTTGTATTAATTTTTGACTAAACGGAATTTAATGAAACTTTCAGCACATGATCTACATATTATATTGAATATTTGAGAAATTTAAAAAATGAAAAATCATTCACAATTAGCTATTGTGGCATCTGACTTGAACTTGAATGTTTTTACTCGATAAAAACATAACGGGATGATTTATCGAATTTTAAAAATCAGGGTATAATGGTTTTGTTAAAAGTATGTAATAGGCAGAAGGAGGCGTGGCAGACCCCACAAAGTATATATATTCTTGATCAGGGCGACGAGCTGAGTCGATTTGGCCCTGTCCGTCTGTCTGTCCGTATGTATGAACGCGTCGATCTCAGAAGATATAAGAGCTAGAGACTTGAAATTTTTTTCCCTAGGTCCGTGTATATCACGCGCATATCAAGTTTTTTTTTAAATATATCGATAACTACTCCAGATATTTTATTATCGATGAAAAACCTTATCGAAAGCTAGTTATTTAATTATATCTCCTACACCTTTAGAGCTAGAGCTTGCAAATTTTATATGTAGACTTATATGTATTATATATAATTTCGGTTTTTGTTGTAATTTACCCCCCCCCTCTATATCCACCCCATCACCCACACCTTTGTAAAAGGCGTATTTCAAGTACTAGAGACGTGTGCTTTGGAATGCACATACATTACAACATTATGATTATGTTCTGAAAGTTTCATTGAGTCATTGCACGTCTAGAAATTAAATTATTCAACATATAAATTCTTATAATGTTGCCCACACTGCAGTGCCGAAAAGAAGTGAAGAGTGATTAGAATATCAGAGGAGGGTTCAGGGTATCTCCTAGTCGAGCAATCTCGACTAGAGTCTTCATACTTGATTTTTTCGTTTGTATTTTAATGTATTGTAAATTTTCAGATGATGATGAATGTGCGCTTAACACACATAATTGTCCACTGAATTATGACTGTTATAATACAAAAGGATCGTTCCGATGCCACAGGAAAATAACAACAACAAGTACAACATTAACGACAAGCAGTATAACAAAAACTCCACCTCCATTAGCTAACACATCCAGAGACCGAAATCAATACTATGCATCAAACCAGGCTCACAAAATTTTAAATTATGAAACTAGTTCAACTAAATTAGGATCAACAATATTGTCTCATAGGCCTTGCACAGATGGATTTCACAGAAATAATCTAGGCGCATGCGTCGGTAAGTCTCAGACATTGCATTAAGGTAATAAAATTAGGAATATATTTATTAAATTATTATAGAATTTCGGATTTTTATACTCATTTGCGAAAGTAAAATGAGTATACTAGTTTTGTGCTATGTTCGTATTGCTGTCCGTCAATATTAATTCGGCGATATTGAAACTAAAGCCTTGAAATTGGAACACTTAATCGAATATATACCCTGAATTTATAAAGTGTTTAAATTTCTCCGCTCCGCCTAATAGGGGTGTGTTGATGAGCTACAATACTGAAATTTGTAATGTAGATTCGCACCACCAAAAGTCAAACATCTATGACGGATATATTTACGCCCATTAGAGGCAATGAAAATCGGGTAAAATTGCATGTTTTATAGTTTTAAAGGTAGAATGCTAAAATTCTGAAAGTGATGATATTATATACGATGAAAATATTATATATCTAATCTCACTAGTGGCATGTCAAATCGAATCTGAAGATATAGTGATATTTCAAAATAATAATTCTTACGCTCAAAAACTGTGAAATTTACAGGGTATTTTTCGATATGCCACGCTCTTAAGGAGGCGTAAAATTTTTTCTTGGCTCATCGATAGAGTTGGTTTCTAGTAACTCAACTATAAAAACTTCTACCTATTATACTTTAGCAGATATAAACTTTTTATTAAACAATTAAGTTCCTATAGTAAGCCAACACTGCAGCCAATTCGTGTTTATACGTGCGTACGTATGTCTGTGTGTGTGCGTGTATGTGTGCATATGCGAATAATTATTGAAATATCAGTTGCTCGAAGGGTTCAGAGGATCTCGTAGTCGAGCAGTGTCTACTAGAGCTTTCTTACTTGTTATACCCTGAACCCATTGAAAATGGGAAATCAAGGTATAATGTTTTTTTTTGAAATGTATGTAACAGGCAGAAGGAGGCGTGGCAGACCCCACACAGTATATATATTCTTGATCAGTGTGACGAGCTGAGTCGATTTGGCCCTGTCCGTCTGTCTGTCCGTATGTATGAACGCGTCGATTTCAGAAGATATAAGAGCTAGAGACTGGAAATTTGTTTCCTAGTGTACATATATCACGCGCATATCGAGTTTTTCTCTAAATATCGATAACTTCTCCTGTCCTTCCAAAAGGAGTCTAGTCCGTCGATGGCCCAGTGTATAATATATTTTTAAGATGTAGACTGCAACTTGCGGTCTCTCTAAATAGGCACGAACGAAGTGCTGGCACCGGTGTTCAATTTTGTACTACTTTTATTGAATTTTAACAGCAACGCAAGCGCAGCTTGCACAGCAGAAAGCTCATCTAAGCGCGAGCAGCGGGAGAGCGATTGTTTGGCGAGCGACACTCCCGTGCTAGCGTGTGCAACAACAACTACTTTACAGTGGTTTCATTTCCATTCTTAACCTATACAATTTTAATAATTCAATTTCTTCATTTTTTTTTTTAATTCTATATAATAAAGAGGGCATATATCCAAATGCCTCAACAACTCCCAATATTTTTTTATCGATGAAAACCCTTATCGAAAGCTAGTTATTTAATTATATCTCCTACATCTTTAGAGCTAGAGCTTCCAAATTTTAAATGTAGACTTATAAGCATTTTTGTTAAAATTTAAAATATTCACCCCTTCACCCTCACCTTTGTAAAAGGCGTATTTCAAATACTAGAGACTTGTGCTTTGGCAAGTGCATGCATATCCATGTTATAATTATAATCTAAAAGTTTTTTGAAGAAAGTACATCCACAAGAAAAGTTATTAAACAATTAAGTTCTCATAGTTAGCGCACACTGCAGCCCATGCGTGTTTAGGCGTGGGTGCTTGTGTGCGTGTATGTATTTGCATTTTTTCAAATGTTAGTGAGCAGCTTATTGTCCGCTGCAATTTCCAGCACTACTAACAGCTGTTAGAGTGAATACACCTGCTTTTTATTAATTGCTCAAGTGCTAAAGTGACAAATATTTTCGCGCTTAAATAAGAAAAAGAAAGAGGAAAACCCTGACGCCAAAACAATGACGCTATTGCCCCCCTCTCTTGCACCACTGGATTCTATCACTCTTGTTATTTTCAAGGGTCGTTGGGTACGTCGCGCCCACAGCATACACGTTGACTTCATATTTTCCACTTTTAAAGGGAAAAGCACAGACCAAGCTAGAGTTTACAATAGATCGCAATGACATCGACAGTACTCCACGAAAACGCGACTCGAACATCTCTGTATGCGTGTGTGTGTATGTGAGCTTTCATAATTGTTGGAAAATTCAATTGCGGGCATTCTGGATTTGTAAAAAAATTATTTGCTTTATTTCCGCTTTTTGTACCCTGAAAATGGGAAATCAGGGTATAATGGTTTGATGTATTTTAATGTCCGTACTTACAGCGCGGATATCGAGTTTATCATTAACAAGTAAGAAAACTCTAGTCGAGACTGCTCGACTAGGAGATACCCTCAACCCTCTAATCTGATATTCTAATCACTCTGCACTTCTTTTCGGCACACATACATACACACGCACGTATTAGAACGCTGCGCATTAAGCAGCGACTGCGATTGGGCTGCGCTGCAATGTGGGCAATATTATAAGAATTTATTTGTTGAATAATTTAATTTTTAGACGTACAATGACTCAATGAAACTTTTAGAACATAATCATAATGTTGTAATGTATGTACATTCCAAAGCACAAGTCTCTAGTACTTAAAACACGCCTTTTACAAAGGTGAGGGTGAGAGGGTGGATATAAAGGTGGGAGGTAAATTACAACAAAAATCGAAATTATATAAAATACATATAAGTCTACATTTAAAATTTGGAAGCTCTAGCTCTAAAGGTGTAGGAGATAAATTTAAAAAACTAGCTATCGATACGGTTTTTATCGATAATAAAATATCGGGAGTAGTTATCGATATATAGAGAAAAACTTGATATGCGCGTGATATACACAGACCTAGGAAAAATTTCAAGTCTCTAGCTCCTATATCTTCTGAGATCGACGCGTTCATACATACGGACAGACAGGTGGACAGGGCCAAATGGCCTTAGCTCGTCGCCCTGATCAAGAATATATATACTTTGTGGGGTCTGCCACGCCTCCTTCTGCCTGTTACATACTTTTAACAAAACCATTATACCCTGATTTCCCATTTTCAATGGGTTCAGGGTATAAAAATCTGTGTTGTGTTTGGTTGGTTGTTGTTGACATTCCCGGAATGAGCTCCGGCCCAGATGGTCACCCTATTCATTTATTCTATCGATAAGTAATTATATATATGTTATTTTATGTAAGTTGATTGATATTAGTGTCTATTGATTTAGATATAAACGAATGTGAAGAACATAAGGTGTGCAGAAGCCATGAACGTTGTATTAATACAAACGGCTCGTACCGCTGTGAAAATCTAATGCAGTGCCCTTCCGGATTTAGATCAACTTCCGATGGAACTTCATGCATCGGTTAGTATCCATACATTATATATATAATAATATTATTATATTTTATTTTTTAGACTCAACTTTTTATTTTGTTTTATTTCAATATTCTTTAGATTCTAGTTTTAGTACTTTAAAAGTTTTTACTGGCTAAGGTTTAATGCTTACTAAAGCATTTATATATACATGCATATTGTTATTTTTTTTTTTTTTTTTTGGCTTACTAATATAGTTTATAGTCTATTTTACCTATTTTCATTTTTTTTTTTAATTGAATATGCATATTTTTACAGTTTTTATTTCGCTGCAAAGTAAAAAATTAAAATTTTTTCCCTGCGTGTAAACACTTTCTTGCCACTTTCTTGACAGCGTGACGTCACTGTGTCTTTTAACAGTGTGCGCAAACTATTGTGGCTTTTAACAGTGCTCGATATCAGCATTTACTGACGTCACACTATTTTAGCATTATCTCAATCTGATTACACATAGAGCAACATTGATCACTCAACAGAACAACAGAGTAATCAATTTACCTCCGACCAACCTGAAAATGTGCACGTCCACTCTGCAGTAATCACACGATAGCGTTTTAGAAATTGAGTGCCAACTAAAGTGACAAGTGCACTTGCCACTACTTTTTAAGTATTTTGAAACTTTACGACATCTAACAGATGCATCTTTTTAAAAAGGGGCAATTTGACTTGTATATGTATGCACCCTTTTAAAAAGTGTCAATTTAACCTGTATGCGGATTCATATTTCTCAAAAGGGTCAAATATACATACATACATATATGCACAAGTGCATGGGCTTGAAAATCACATCCCATATTGCCCACTGGGATTAATCAGGTACTATATATTATACTATACTAGCTGGCCGGCAAACGTTGCATTGCCCTATCCATTATTTCTAGGTAAAAATGAAAGCTGATTAATTTATTAATCGGATTTTCATTTAAGCACCTTGTGGTAAACGACATTCTTCGTTTTTTGGTCAGGTGCAAGAAGAAATAATGCGGATGGTTTGCCAACACGTGAGCATGCCACGTACAATTGACCATGAGAAAAACACGCATTTTCTAGATTGAGGCCACAAATAGTCAAAGATTGGCCCTGTGATTTGTTGATCGTCATGGCGAAGGCAAGACGAATCGGGAATTGAATTCGTTTAAACTCAAAGGGCATATCTGTTGGGATCATCGGAATCCTAGGAATTTTATGAATAGTCAGGTTCGCCTGAGGCTGTGCCGTAGACTGACTGACTACATTTGTTTATTTACTTCTATACTATTGTATAATATGAGAGCAGGACCGAAAACTGTCACTGTTATCAAGCCTACTGAGTATCAATGGAAACTTGAATCTTTAGGGAAAAAAACGCGTTTTTCAAGTATTCGTCAAATTTTTTCAGTATTTTTATACGCTGATCCCATTTTCAATGGGAAATCAGGGTATAATGGTTTTGTTGAAATGTATGTAACAGGCAGAAGGAGGCGTGGAAGACCCCACAAAGTATATATATTCTTGATCAGGGCGACGAGCTGAGTTGATTTGGCCCTGTCTCTCTGTCTGTCTGTCCGTCTGTCCGTCCGTCCGTCTGTCCGTATGTATGAACGCGTCGATTTCAGAAGATATAAGAGCTAGAGACTTCATTTTTTTTTAAATGTCCGTAATTACAGCGCGCATATCAAGTTTATCATTAAAAATCGATAACTCTTCCCGATCTTTTTTATCGATAAAAAACCGTATCGAAAACCAGTTATAAAATTATATCTTCTACACCTTTATTGCTAGAGTCTCCAAATTTTTAATGTATAATGTATGCTTATATGCAATTTATACAATTTCGGTTTTTGTTTAAATTTACCCCCCACCCATAAATTCACCCCCTCACCGTCACTTTTGTAAAAAGCGTATTTCAAATACTAGAGACTTGTGCTTTGGCAATTACATGCATATCCATGTTATAATCATAATCTGAAAGTTTCATGAAGATCGTACGTCCATAAAAAAAGTCATTAAACAATTAACTTCTCATAGTAAGCGCACACTGCAGCCCATGCGTGTTTATGCGTGGGTGCTTGTGTGTGTATGTGTTTGTGTATGTGTGTGTATGTGTTTGTGAATGTGTATGTATGTGTTTGTGTATATGGGTGTGTGTATGTGAGTGTGTGTATGCGTTTGTGTCTGTATGCGTGTGTGTGTATGTATGCCTGTGTGTGCGTACGTGCGTGTGTGTGTGTGAAAGACGCGAAAAATTATTGAAATATCTATTGCTCCAAGGGTTCAGGGGATCTCGTAGTCGAGCAGTCTCGACTAGAGCTTTCTTACTTGTTAAGAATTACTATCCTACTCGTGGCGGAGACAAATCCAACAAATCAAAAACCATGAAAATTGGTCCAGCAGATCTCGAGTTATAAGTGTTGGAGCACTTTTACACAACTTTCTTTTATGTATATAGATTTTCATTGACATAAAATCAGATACTTAAATATAAACGCTATTCTGCGATTGGAACCCAAAATCGCATACAGATGCTTATACATGTAGCAAGGATCTGTAGGGTGCGTTTGCATGCTCAACACGAAAATTTTCATTATGCGCACCAACGCTTTCATACCCTTCCCACAAATAATAACGAAAACGCAAATATTTTGTACGAGCTTGGCAAACGGTTTGAAGAGTTCAGTATACTCTTCACACAGAAGTGAAGAAACGGTAGTCTAGTTTGGCTCTGTCCGTCTGTCTGTCCGTCCGTCTGTATGTATGAACGCGTCGATTTCAGAAGATATATCGCGAAATTGCTGAAAAAATGTACTTTTTCTAATAAAAATTGAAATCACTGACTGATAAGCGAAAATAGTAATAGTTTTTTTCACCGCGATATTGTAGCTCTTTTAAAAGGTTCTGATGCACTCCTTTTCATCTCTTTTAGAAATCCACTCTTTCATCCAACACTTTTTATTTTTTGGCAGACTTTGATCTTCTAATTTTTTTTCGTTTTATCAAAATTGCTAATATAGCAACAGGAGCAACTCTCGATTTTTGTGCCGACATAATATAAACACGTCGTTATTTCTTGTATTTTTCAATTCAACTGAACTTGCAAATGAGTGTCACTTGCAATCAGTGCAAACAAAAACAAACAAGTAAGACAGCTCTAGTCGAGAGCGCCCGACTACGAGATCCCCTGAACCCATCGAGCAATAGCTATTTCTATCATTTATCGCGTATTTCTGCTTACATAAGACACACACACACGCTTACACACACAGGCATATACACGCGCGCACACACGTTCGAGTTGCGTTTTCGTGGAGTACGGTCGACGTCATCGTGATCCATCGTGGATCTGTGTTTTTCCCTGTGAAAGTGGAAAGAACTGTAGACAACGTGGTTGCTGTGGGCGCGACGCACCCAGCGACGGCAAAAACTATCAGACTTACTTCGCGGCGGTCTCGCGGAGTACCCCAGTGGTACAGTCCGGTGGTGCAAGAGAGGGCGTCAATAGCGTCACTGTTTTTGGCGTCAGGGCTTTCCTCTTTCCCTTTCTTTTTTTCAGCGCGAAAAGATTTGTCACATTAGGCGTCACATTTGTGCAAATAATAAAAAATCAAGTGCATTCACTCTAACAGCTGTTAGTAGTGCTGGAAATTGCAGCGGACAATCAGCTGCTCACTAACTTTGGTGAGTTGCTAAGTCTCAGCAAAGACAGCAACCTAGCTGCTGGTGTGAGGTAGCAAGTATTAAAAGTAGTGCATACTTTCGGGCTCTCGCTGTAGTTAAGTTGAGTTTAAGTTACTGCGGTCTCTAAGCTCAAATTATATTAGTAGGCAGTGCCCACTACAGGCTTTACGCCGTGGTAGTCGGAGCAATATGGAGGCCATGATGGAGGAGGAGCTGCAAGCTTTTGCGCGCCGTTTCTCGTTGCAGCGATCGCCGCAGCAACAACAGAGCGCGTTGCCGCAGCCGTCGACTTGTAATCAGTCTCCAGTGGCTGAGTGCCAGGCACCCAAGTCTTTCAAAGAAGCGTTAGCTCAAATAGGAGTTACGCTAGAGGGTTTGTCTGCCCTATTTGGGGGGCAGCGGCATATAAATGCACTAATAAGAGAGGAGCTGGCTAGGCTGGTCAGTCTCAACAAGACGGCCGAAGTGTTCTGCAATCGACCGGTCAAAGACTGCGAGGTGCAGACCACGCTGGTCAAGAAAGTAGCTGAGAAGGCTAAAGCAACGAGCGTTAGTGCTACAGCAGGTAGTAATACGCCCAAGCGGTCGAGGGAAGTTGCCACTGAGCATAGGAAAACTCCCTCGAAAAAGCCGAGGCACAATAAAAGCGCAGCAAATCCAATAGAGCCAATGGCTCTACGGGCTGCAGCCGATAATACCAACTTTCAGGTATAGGAGGTTGCAGCTATGACATGTGTCCTTCCAAAAGGAGTCTGGTCCTTCGATGGCCAGTGTATAATATTTATAAAAAAAAGTAGACAGCAACTTGCGGTCTCTCTGAAATATACGAAGTGCTGGCACCGGTGTTCAATTTTGTACTGAATTTATTAAATTTAACATGAACGCAAGCGCAGCTTGCACAGTAGAGAGCGCACCTATGCGCATCTAACAGCGAGCAGCGAGAGAGCGATCTTTTGGAGAGCGACACTCCCGTGCTAGCGCGTACAATAACAACTTCTCTGTACAGTGGTTCAGCTTCAATTACTTAACCTATACAATTTCGATAATAATTCAATTAATAATTCATAATAATTCAATTTCTTATAATAATATATAATAATATTTCAGAAGGCAATATCCAAATGCCTTAACATCGGCCGCGTTGAAAGGCCGCAGGGCTTCAATAACATGGTGTATTAGTGGAGTGGCAGTGGTGCAACGCGATGAATTGCCCTTTTATATGTGCCATTTTTTGTCTTAACGACAATTACGCGCACTCTACCATCTCCTCCGACTATGGCTTCCGTCACCACGCCTAGCATCCACTGTTGTGGAGGCGCGTTGTCCTCTCCCACG